GCCGAGCAGGGAGCCCGATGCGGGACTCGATCCCGGGACTCCAGGACCATGACCTGAGCCGAAGGCAGTCGCTTAACCAACTGAGCCACCCAGGCGCCCTTATTTTTAGGATTTTGATCCATGTTGAGTTAATTTTTGTGAGTGGTGTGAAATAGGGGTACAACATCATTATTCTGCATGTGTTTTTCCAGTTTTCTGAGCACCCTGTGTCAAGAAGATTATCTTGTCCTTATTGGGTGTTTGTGGCTCCCTTATTAAATATTAGTTGACCATAGAAACAGAGTAAAATTAAAATAAAGGCTGGGAGTACTTACGCAGGAAATTCCAGACTATAGTGGTTTATTTTAAATTTGGCCGAGATGCGCTTAGCTTGGTCTATACTGGGGGTTCTCAGACTTGGCACTGTTCTCATTAGGGCTGGATAATTCTTTGCCTTGGGAGCTCTCTTATGCATTGTGGGATGTCGAGCAGCATCTCTGGCCTCTACCCACTGGATGCCAGTGGCAGGCCTGAGCTGTGACGCCCAAAATGTCCCAGACTTTGCTCAGTGTCCCTGGGGGCAAAGCTGTCCGTACGTGAGCATCACTGATCAATACTCAGGGATCCTCTCCCCAAGGCACCCATGTACAGCTTCTTGGCAGATGCTCACATGAGACCCCCGACCGCAGTGGTTGGATGTGTGGGCCGAGGGGCTGAGATCCTCCTGCAGCACCCAGTGGCCAAATGGGAGCAGGGCCTGGGCGTCTTCATCTCAGCCAGCTTTCTGGGTGCGTTCGACCTTGTCCCGTTTTGACAACCACTGATCTAGATGGCACATGATCAAGCCCCGTCCTCCTGTGATTCAGCCCTTTCACCTGCATGCACTCTGGGACTTTTGCCCCATAACGCTAACACAGACCAGGATACGGGGACTCCAACCTGTGAGTCCCTGGCCTCACCAGACGAGACCTTAGACCGGGGGCTGGCACACTCTGTGGAGGGCTCGGGAGCAAATGTTTGGAGCTCTGCAGCCCATCGACTCCATGCCACAGCAGCTGGTCTCCATCTCGAGCAGGAAAACAGGCACAGCCGTGTGGCGTGAACGGGTGAGACTGTCTTCCCGTCAGAACCAAGGGCAGGCTGTGCACAGTGCTTGGGGGTCTCTGAAAAGATTGGACATAGAACTGCCCCATGACCCAGCCGTCCTGCCCAAAGGGTTGAAAACAGGGACGCGAACAGGTATTTGTACACCAGCGTGTCCAGACATACAGCTTCATTCGTCTGATGACTGGGTACATAAAGTGTGACGTGGTCCTACGACGGAATATTATTCAGCCACGAGAAGAAATGAGGTTTGGACACATGCTACAACACGGCTGAACCATGAGCACATCATGCTGAGATGCTGAGTGGAAGAAGGCGAGACACTGTGTACTGCACTTCTGTGAGATGCGTAGACAAGTTCGTACAGGCAGGAGGTAGCCTGGGGTGAGCGGGGCCGGGAGGACGGGGCTCCTGCTGAATGGACCCAGAGTTCTTGTTGGGCCGATGAACAAGGTGTGGGCGTAGAGCGTGGGATGGGGCACAGCCCTGTGAGTTTACTTGATGCCTTCGAATTGTATACTTACGCATGGTTAAAATAAAAACCCTGTTATGTGTATTTTACTACAACTAAAACAACGGTTTTAGAAAAAGTTGGCTTACCCGGCTGACATGCCTCTGACATAAGTGTGGGGCTGGATTCAGGGACACTGGGCCAGATAGAGTGTTGGCTTCACAAAGGAGGTGACTAGGGGTCTTCGGACGATGCTTTGTCTCACGGGAGCCTCTCTTCCCTCGTCCCAGGAGAAGGGATTGCCAGCATCAGCCGCCTCGCTCGGTGACCCCAGCACACAGTGGCTCAGTGCTGCTCCTGGGTTTTCCAATGAGAATTAGCATTTCCTCCTCCTCATGCACAATCACCCACAGAGCACAGAAGCGTCTGGATAGCCGTAGGACTGATGACCTCGGGAGGCCCCGAATGGGATCATGCGACGTGCATGTGGGTCATTTTCTCCACCCATGGAGCTGGTGGCCTCTGGGCCGTGGTGCTATGTGTCAGTGGCTGGGTGAGGACCACGCACGTCTCACGTCTTCCAACTTTTTCAGGGAGCGCGGGGAGCTTCTGGAAGAAGCCAAGAAGATGGAGATGGCCAAGTTCCGCTACATCCTGCCCGTATACGGCATATGCCAGGAGCCTGTGGGCCTGGTCATGGAGTACATGGAGACGGGCTCGCTGGAGAAGCTGCTGGCCTCCGAGCCACTGCCGTGGGATCTGCGCTTCCGCATCATCCACGAGACGGCCGTGGGCATGAACTTCCTGCACTGCATGGCCCCGCCTCTCCTCCACCTGGACCTCAAGCCCGCAAACATCTTGCTGGACGCCCACTACCACGTCAAGGTAGGACTCGCCTGGCACCGTGTGCGGGGCCCAGGCGGCCGGGGCGATACAGGGTGGAGAGGGCATGGTGCTTGGGGGAAGGCACTTGAAGCAAAGGCCTCTGTCAGCATAAGGACTCCAGCGACTCCCAGTCTTGTCGTGGTCACCGTAAGCCCCACAGAATGTGTAGCTGGGAAATGGACCCTTATGCACTTGCTAGATCCTGGAGCAGGAGTCTAAATTCTGGGCACTCTGGAAAAAAGAGCTTACGGGGTTGCAGATTCGGGTCTTACTGGATGTCTATTGAAATCCGGTTAGGAGTCAGACTGTGGGTGGGCTGTGGGTGGACTGTCTCCATGGGACCGCGGGCTCTGTGGTGACGGCTGCATCCCTTTCGGTGGTCTCAGGGATAGTGGTGGGGGAGATGCGAGTGTTCCAAAATGGAGGCTCCACGGAAAGAGGCTCCGAAGGGGGCTCATTCTGTCCTCATCATGCGAGGCCTCTGAGGTCTGGTTTTGTTCTTCTTTTTGGATAAGTTTATAAACCACAGAAAAGCATGAGGGTTAACAGAGCTAAAAACCAGGTACCAGCCACCTGGAATCACAGTTAATAACGTTGTCAGGTTTGTATTTCTTTGAACATGTCTCTCCTTTGGAGTGCCTTTGTGTCCCGGGTCCTGTGGTGGACACCAGGGCGGGACACGTGTCATGGGTTTTCTCCTTGTGGTGATGCATGCCCGCTCCGGAGGCCCGGGGCCGTGTGCTGGCCTATGGGATGCACCTGCCGCCGCGCTTTCCCTGCACCTGGCCCGAGAGTGAATGAGAAGAATCCCAGAGCAGTGGCCTGAATCCCTTCCTCTTCCCTGTGGGAACCGGTCAGGGAAGGGACTCACCTGTTCAGACACTTAGCTCTTCCTGGCTGGTCACACGGCACTTTCAGGGCCCCCTCCTTTGCTGGCCCGAGGGCCAGGAGGGACTGGAGTTCAGTCCGGCCCTGCCCCCGGACTCTGTCCGGAAGGAGGGGTGGGACCAGGTGGCAGGCACCTGCAGGCAGCTCCCCGGGCCCCAACTTTGCCGCAGGCCCGGCCAACCCGAGGCCGACGGGGAGACCGCTTTCCACTGCGAACTGTCCCTTGAATGGATGTCGCCCAGAGATCAGATTGTAGCGGGCAGATGGAAATGCTCTCCTGCTAACAGATGGTCTGGTGTGAATGGGTGCCACGGGGGCTCCCAGGCTTTGCTGGAGCCCCGTTTCCTTCTGGCTGGCATGCTGGCTTCCTGTGTGGACCTTCTGCCCCTGCTGACATTACAGGGTTGTTTCAAGGAGTGTGCGGTCCCCTGGGCACCCAGGGAGGCGTGCAGCTTCTGAGCTCGGGCTTGGACACACACAGGACTAAGGAGCAGTGGCAGACCGTGTGGTGTGCCAGAGGTCCCGCCCCCGACAAGGTGCCCTGGGTGGTGGCCTGCTTCCTGCTAAAGCTGCGGCGCGGGGGGTCACACCAGAGGCCAGGGTGGCCCGGCCATCGGTCACCCATCTGCGGGGACAGTGGGTTCCGTGCCGTGCGGGAGATGCGCACAGACCGAGCGTGCGGCCCCCGGGTGTCACACGAGGGTGGAACAGGCATGGGGCCGCAGGTGCCCCGCAGGCTGCCTGCGGGGTGGGGGGAGGGGTTATTCGCAGAACTCCAGCTGGGGGTGGGGGTGCCACGGGGCCGGGGTGCTGGGTCTTCAGAGAGGATCAGGCTTTACTGCTGGCAGGAGGTGGGGGCACAGGCAGAAAGGTCATGGAAAATTGTAGGCTTCTTAGCGGGATGGAAAGCAGGAGGCTAAGTTAGATTAGGGGAGGGGGTGCTGAAGGGCGGAAGTGGGGGTCTCCCGGGAGGCCACACCAGGTGTGCAGCGCTGTCACCTGGTAGGTGGGGTCACCGTCTGTGTTGTGAGGGTCAGAGGGGACGAAGTGCTGACAGCTCAGTGCCTGGCCTGCGGACGTGCTTGCTGAGGGCAGTGCTCTTGGTACCATTGGGGTTGGTGGCCAGATGGTCATTGTTTGCTCCCCGGGGATGCTGACCTTCGTCCAGGGAGGCCTCCAGTGCTGGGTCCGCAGTAGACACCTGATACTTGCTGTTCCCTGCGTGACACGCTGGGGGCTTGCTTTCCTGGTAGGTCATCCTGCTTTGGCTCTGAGCTTCCTCCGTTTGAACACTTTTTTCTCCCTCTCCTGTGTGCACGCTGGCTTGGCAGCCTGGTGCTGATGGCCATTTTAGTAAACGGGTGAAGTTTCTGGAAGAACCCAGTGCCAGTGGGTCCCAAGGAGCCTGGGGCGACGGGCGGAGCAGAAGCCAGGCGGGAGCGGGTGGAAGCCAGGCCCCGTCTCCGCTGGTGGGACGCGCAGTGACCCTGGGGCTTCCCCAGCGCCCTGAAAGGCCCCTAGGGAGGGGGGCCTGCTCTTCTGTGACCACCGCTCAGCCGCCAACAGACAGATGACATGTTTCCATCACACATTTCCTGACTCTGAGAAATATGGCGCGGAGGGCAGTGTTTGAGCTGCCATGTTGACTGGAAGCTCTGTATTGATCGATCGGCCCCCGGATTTCGGGGCAGTTTGCAGTCTGCGATTATCTGGAGCAATGAGACTTGAATCTGGGATCTTGAAATGAGATCATAAGTTGTCAGCCTCCCCCCTCCCCTTTGGGCCCCTCAAGACTGCCTTTCTGTACCCAGCAAGGATGATTGGAGCTCAACCAACTACCTACCTTGCAAAATGCATTAAAGAGACTTAATATTAAATTAATACTTGATGTTAGTATTAACTAAGTGAAATACCAAGGGAGCAAGCCCATTTCAAGTTGAAAACAAAATAGCTTAGTTTATTGTTTTGTTTTTTTTTTTTAAATAGGCTCCACATCCAACGTGGGGCTTGAACTCATGACCGAGATCAAGAGTCACATGCTGCACCCACTCAGCCAGCCAAGTGCCCCCTGAAATGGTTTAGTTTAAAATCTCAGGCTACTTCAGGTCCAGTTTGCCCAGACCAGACCATATCCAGAGGGACCCTGAGGGTTCTGTTCCCCTGTGGTCCGACAGGCCTTTCTCTCTAAGCCAGCACAGCCCTGACCAGCCCCTTCCTTGGTCTCGTCCGGCTGGGCCCAGAAGGTGAAGGGCCCATGTCCTGGGGGCACCTGTGAGCACTGAGCAGTACTGAGGCGGACACTGAATGTGAAAATGTGTTCGCAAATTATGGGGCGTTTGCTGTATACACGATAGACGCTGGGATGGCCTGGGCCCCGGTGTCGAGGATCAGGGCAGACAGTCAGGCCCTGGGCAGGACAGGCGGGGAAGGGCCAGAGGAGAAACCCGGTGGGGAGGGGGTGGGGCGCGGAGGTCAGCGGCCACCAGAGAATTCGGATTTCTGATTTGCATTTTGATGCCATAGCTTTTACATGGATTTTATGCTTATTTTCTTACACCAAGGACGTTTTGAGGTGGCTGGCTGTACCTGCAAACAACTCGAAAGGCCTTGAGCCGGCCGGGGGCGGAGGGGGGTGGCACGGGGTGAGGCCCCTATAACCCAGTCGGTCTCCACTTACGAATTTAAAAGGTTGAAGCGGCTGAGAGTTTGAACTGGAACGTTGGCACTCGTCCACTTGGAGAGGCACAATGCCCGGCTCTTTCGGCCCTGAGCTGCTTTGTGGATCTGCCGGGCAAGGCGGTGGGCGGGGAGTTTCTTGAAGGCCCACACGGCAGGCAGCGAGCAGCTAGGGGCCCAGGAACCGCCAGGCTGCACATGGAGAGCCAGGCCCCGTCCTGCCCCCGTTCTGTCCCATCCACTCTCCACAGGTGTGGTCAGGGAGCCCTTGCAGGACCGGGGGACCGGGCGTAAATTCTCCCTGTGTTCAGCGGTGCTGACTCCAGGCTGTGGGCTCCCCTCGAGGGCACGGCGAGCCCAGAAGTCAGGCCCGACTCAGCCCCATTCCCTATCCCTCCATCCATGCGTTTGAGGAGGGGCCCTGGAGTTCATTAGAAGGCTTCACAATAATTCATAAGCCTTGGAAGAGACTTTAAAGGGGCAGTTTTCCATGTGGGTCCCGAGTCCCTTTGTGCCAGTGAGGGTGACCTAAGCCCACGCACAGCGCTTCAGCTGCCGTCCAAGGTTCCTGATTTACACAAGAGGGGGGAGCTGTGGGGAGATGGTGACGCCCCCCTCACTGTGGGGTCCCCTGAGCTTCCTGAGCTTTCCGGACGCCTTGGCCCAAAGGAGAGGAGGAGACAGAGGTGTGGGGGGGCCTCTATAGCTGGGGTCCGGGGCTCCTTCAGGTGGGTGGGCCCCTCACAAGGAGGAGATGTGCGTCACGTCACGCCTTTTATGTGGATGCCTTGTGTTGGGTGAAGGAGCCAGCAGGTGTCCGTTGATGACACGCCATTCCAGGTGGAGGCATGCCCCCTCGAGGTTGCATGGTGTGTGTTTTGTTTGCTTTAAGGGGCATCTGAAGGCATATTTCCCTTTAAAGAGCATGCTGCCACCTGCCCACCTCCCCAGCGGGGCTGCAGCCTAACCAGTGGCCTCAGCAGCGGGCCTTGCTTGTCACATGTCATCTGAAAACCTGAAAACTCGAAGGATTGCTTTTCTCCTGTAGGCCGATTCGGGCTGTCCCCAGTGGCAGGCGTTAAGATTGTAATCTTCTTGAGTTCTGTCTCCCAGTGAATTCCTTCCTTAAAGCGTAATCTTTCCCCTGCCCGTCAGGCTGCCCCTGGCCGGGACTCGGTTCTTCCGAAGCCGGCTCTGCCTTCCTGTCTTCCCCGGAGGAGCACAAGGCTGGCCCTCCGGTGCGGGTTCCTGAACGCACCTGCACGGCCTCGCTGGGACAGGGCCATGCGACACTGCAGAGGGGAGGGGTTGATAAAGCCCCCAGACGGCAGCCCTCGGTGCCTCCCCCTGCGCGGCCCCAGCAAAGCTTGCTGAGCCCTGTCTCATTGCTGTGTTGCAGATTTCCGATTTTGGGCTGGCCAAGTGCAACGGGCTGTCCCACTCCCATGACCTCAGCATGGATGGCCTGTTCGGCACCATCGCCTACCTCCCTCCGGAGCGCATCCGGGAGAAGAGCCGGCTCTTCGACACCAAGCACGATGTGTACAGGTGTGTGACAGGTGTGCGTGCGGCCCAGCCGGGGCTCTGCACCTTGATTCTTCGTGCCCCAAGTGCCAGCTTTCCTAGGGGCTGCTCGGTGTGGTGAGATACAAGGTCCAGTCCAAATGAAAGGGTTCGGGGTTTTTAGCTGGTAGGTCCAGGCTGCCCCAGGTGTGCGAGACCGCTGTCCCCTGCCGGCCGGGTTGGTGCCAGTTAGAGACAGTTACGGAACCAGACCGGTGGCTCCTGCACTGTGAAAGCTCCGGGGTTTCCATAAAGTGGGGTTTTTATAGCTCGTCCGCCACTCTCAGTGCTCTGTGTCTCCATGTGCGTGGATTTGGATGCCTAAGCCGGGCCCCTCTGGCCCAGCAGCTTATGCTCCTAATGTCACTTACCTTTGACAGAGGAGTACAGACTCGCCGGGGGCCGTCCACAAACTAGCGTCCGTGGGATTTAGGTACTCGAGAATAATCCCCACGTCACTGGAGCCGTCCTTTTTCCAGTTGCAAAGGTCTTACCCAGACCTGTTGGAGGAGAAAAGAGGGAGGGAGGGAGGGTGCACCTAAGCCCCTCATTGTGGCTCTTGGCTTACGCATGGTGACGGTGACCCTGAGCCCCAGAGCACGAAGCTTCGCCTTTGTGACATCGCCCACGCCCGGAGTGCCGGCAGCCGGTTGGACAGTCAGCCTTGTGCGTGTGCTGTGGGCTCTAAGCTGTCCATCCACTGTCAGTGGTACCGGGCGGCGGGGGGTGGGGGCAGTCCCAGCTTGTAGAATTTGGGGAGAATAAGGTTCTGTGTTTGTTTTGGAGTTGAGAGTTTCAGCTTTTGAACTTGCAGCCTTCAGTTACTTTTCCATGGAGAATTCTTGGCATCTCTATCAATAGCCACTCTCAGCTCAGTGCAGCGTGCTGGTGCGGTGTTTGGGCTCCTGGTTTTGTTTTGTTTTTTAAAAATGTATTAGACTGTGCTTTTTTGGGAGGGTATATTCAGAGTAATTTTATACACTATATAGATAGAGAGAGAGAGAGAGAGAGTGAAAGTGTATGTATAATTTCTACCAACCAAGAAAGGGCCCCCGGAAGGTCAGCCGGCCCGACTCTTGTGTTCTCTGCCCAGCCTTGTGTGACACCTCAGCGAGCAAGCTCCTCGCACCGCCCAGAGCCGGCGTCAGCGTCTTGCGCCCTGTGCCTGCTGGAACTTGGGGGGAATTAAGCAGACACAGGCCCTTCTGCCCATGAGCCGACGGTCCAGCCGCAGAGCGGCGTTCCTTTCCCTTTGCGCCCCCTGCCCCGCGCGGTTTGAGCTGGCACGAGGCTGCGTGGCAGGGTCGTGTCTGTTGGGTGGCATCTGAGCTGCCACGCAGCTCCGCGGGGAGAGCGCCTGTGTACCAAGCCCGTGGAAAACATCTTGGTGTCCTCTCTCCCTCCCTCTCCCACTCCCGTGCTTCTGAAGACTCCGGAGTGGTTTCCCTCCAGCCTGCTGCCGTGTGGGTGGGCCTCTGGCTCACAGCTACTGACCTGGCTGATTTTCCTTCCAGCTTTGCCATTGTGATCTGGGGTGTGCTCACACAGAAGAGACCGTTTGCAGGTGAGTGGCCTTGTCCTTGGGGGCAGTGTGTCCATCTGTCCTGGGACAGTGCGGTGTGCCGCGCGTGGTCCCGTCTCTGAGCTGTGCCTGCAGTCGCCTTCCTGCAGGGATGGGGGGCTTGCTCTGGGCCGTGAAGCCGGCGGGACCCTCCTGGGGGGGCTGTGGGGTTGCTGCTCCATCCCGCCCAGCACGTCCTCACAGAGCCACGGCCCGCACGGCAGGCCTCTCTGTCCGGAGACGAGCCGTCCTGCAGCATAATTCACGGACAAGAAAAGGCTGCTGTCTGAAGGGGTCTGTTCAGTGCGTTTCTTTTTTTAGGTGCCTGGTGATTCTTGTGTGTGTGTGTGTGTGTGATGTAATGTACGTGACATAAAACTTACCCTTTTATCCATTTGAAGTGTCTAATTCGGGGGCATCAAGTGCATTTGCTGGTGTATAGTCACCCCCACTGTGTACTCCCAGAACTGGGTGAAGGAGCCAGCAGGTGTCCGTTGATGACACGCCATTCCAGGTGGAGGCATGCCCCCTCGAGGTTGCATGGTGTGTGTTTTGTTTGCTTTAAGGGGCATCTGAAGGCATATTTCCCTTTAAAGAGCATGCTGCCACCTGCCCACCTCCCCAGCGGGGCTGCGGCCTAACCAGTGGCCTCAGCAGCGGGCCTTGCTTGTCACATGTCATCTGAAAACCTGAAAACTCGAAGGATTGCTTTTCTCCTGTAGGCCGATTCGGGCTGTCCCCAGTGGCAGGCGTTAAGATTGTAATCTTCTTGAGTTCTGTCTCCCAGTGAATTCCTTCCTTAAAGCGTAATCTTTCCCCTGCCCGTCAGGCTGCCCCTGGCCGGGACTCGGTTCTTCCGAAGCCGGCTCTGCCTTCCTGTCTTCCCCGGAGGAGCACAAGGCTGGCCCTCCGGTGCGGGTTCC